CTAGCTGGCTTACCCGGCTCCGCCGTATCCGGACCAAACTTGGCACATATACACTTCGGGCCCCGGCGGGTGTCACAGTCCACTTTTCGTTATCGATCGATGTCGATTTTACCGATTTTTATCGATTTTTTTGCAGAGTTCACCTACAGGGCTAGGAGTTGGCACAGGGGGGGGGAAGTGAGCATGGGGATTCCGAATACAATATTAGTTTTCAGAATTATCGATTACTTTTATTGATTTTATCGATTTTTTGTAAATTTTGACATGCGAGGCTGGGATTTTGCACAGGGGGGGTAATCGAGCATGCTGATTACGAACACAATATTGGTTTTCAGGATCGTCCATTACTTTTATCGATTTTATCGATTTTTTTTTGTAAAGTTGACCTGCGGGGCTGGGATTTGGCTCAGGGGGGTAATCGAGCATGCAGATTACGAATACAATATTAGTTTTCAAGATCGTCCATTACTTGTATCGATTTTATCGATTTTTTGAAAATTTGAGCTAAGGGGCTGGAATTTGGCACAGGGATGTAATCGAGCATGCTGATCACCCCCCTTGGGGGGTGATCAGCATGCTCGATTACACCCCTGTGCCAAATTGTGCCAACTCCCAGGCCCCTAGCTCAAACTTTGCAAAGAAATCGATAAAATCGATAAAAGTAATCGATAATCCTGAAAACCAATATTGTATTCGGAATCCCCATGCTCGATTACCCCCCTGTGCCAACTCCCAGCCCCGTAGGTGAACTCAGCAAAAAAATCGATAAAAATCGATAAAATCGATATCGATCGATGACGAAAAGTAGCCTATGACACCCGCCGGGGCCCGTAGTGTATGTGTGCCAAGTTTGGTCCGGATCGGTTCAGAAATGGAATTTTCTATTCGGAACATACGTACAGGCATACAGACATACAGACAGACATACAGACAAACAGACATTCAGCTTTATATATAAGAATATCTAGGAGCTTCTTTAAAAAAAATTCTCTCTTTTGCCCGTGGAACCCATAATACAGTAAAAAAATGTACAAGTAAATTTGTTGACTTTCATAGGTGCAGAACCAGCGATTGAATAAAAATCTAGAAGACTGGAGCAGACTACTAAAAAACTTTAAAAAAGACGCTTCTATTATAGCAAGCTAATGAAAGACTTCCTCCGAAATTGCTATTCCAAAATGGTATACAAAATTCGCTAGAATTTTTTTTACCACCCGATATAAAAAAGTGTTCACTTTTATCATTACTTTCCTTCTGCCTTTTACTGCTTTGACTAACGGTTCAATTAGTTCCATTAGATGAGATGAACAGCAGATGCTAAAGGTACAGCCAAAATTTTTCATAAAACAGCCGAAAGTAGAGAGCAAATGGTAAGTTGTTCAAAGGTGTTTCCATGGTGTCTCCTCGGCTTCAAAGTCTAATGGTTTTATGATATTGACTCAGAAAAAAAAACTCTGAATCTTGTAGGCTTTTCATTTAGCAGATCTCTCTAAAAGATTTAGCTTTTTATAGGTTATAAAATCTCACCGGAAAGGAACCGACGTTAGGAATCAGATATCATTCAATTTAGATCATTCTCCTCTTTCGACGGTTTTCTGGGTCTATACATTTGAGAGATTCATAGCTCTTCGCTGGATCTTGCGGTATAGCCAAAATATGATTTTTCGAAGATCACATTTTGAAACTGTCAAAAATTGAAAATAGCAGCTGCATAGAGTAGAATTCTTGCTACATTTCTGAATCGACTCTCTTGGATCCCCTCTGTAAACGTGCTAATAAATTTTAGGAATAGAAATTTTCGCTTCATACAAGGGAATGATATCAGGTCGCAGTGGCGAACCAAAATGATGTGCATAATCGCTAAATGAGTTTTCATGAGCTAATTCCAAATCTACCTTTCTTATCGGCTGAGCGCTTTTTTAGAAGAAGCTATGGGTGGATGAAAATGTGAAGTTGTTGGGGTTTTGATGCGTAATCTGCTTCGAAAACCATCTCGGGAGTGATTAATTGGCATGATTTTGAGTGCTTTGACTACAAAGAATCCATACATACACCAAACAACATAAATAAGTGTTTTGAACAAGTAGTGCTTGGAGATGCGGGAACAATGTTTGCCAAATTTGAACGTTCAAACGTTTACTACTACTTTTAAAGAAGAGCTTAGCAGGTACGGAAGTCAGATTTGGTATCAGCTCATTATAGCCATCTTATAATAAGCATAATATCTCGGTTCGCCACTGCGATCTGGAATGATATCCACGAAAGTCCCCGCGAAATGGGCTTTTCGTGCGAATAAAATGGACTTAGTCCATGCGGTGCGATAAGATATCGCATTCGCGAATACATTCATTCCATACAAAAATGCCTCAACTAACCTTTCTCCAACTTGTCTCAACCTGTTTGCTCACTCTTGCAAACTCATTTCCACCAAGTGGTCGATATCTAACTAGGCTGACCTAACAGTACAATGTCACTCAAGTGGCTATTCTATTCTTTCCCACTTCGTTACACCTAACAGAATGCCATTCGTTATCGATGACTATGCATCTAAATCACTTCCAAGACTAAAATTCATGTATTAGGTTGTCCAAAAATTGATGCAGGTTTTCGCAAATGCAAATTCGAAAGGATCGTTCTTCTGTGTATGTGCATCTTTTGACCAATTTCGCATACTAAAAGAAGCCGCTCTTGCTGCTCTCTCTTATTTGTACTACTTCTACGACCAACTTCGTTTGTTCAAAATCTACAACCATCCGAAGATGAAGCTTTAAATTACTAAATTTCTTGCACTATTTTGGCTTGAACTTATTCGGCAAGAGGGGTAATTCCATGATAATATAGCTGAAGCAAGATATTGAGTGAACCTACAAAACAGATAGTAGCGCTTCTTTTGAACGATCGTGAGAGTAGAGAAATTGAGGCGTTAACATGAATAATTGTCGCGGCCACTCTATGGCGTAAAAAATTTTTCTAAAGAAAGCAAGCGTGAAAGTCTCTCCTCGTGCTTGAAGAGTGAGGCCGGTGCCATCAGATATTATCTCAGTTGGTACCTCCCAGGCTTTATTTTTGATGAGTTAATAAAAAAATCAAAATATCGGAGATCGCAGCCGTGAAAGATATATCGAAAAAATGGAAAATTTTGATTCAGCAAATTTTTCTTTCGCATAAAATTTCTAGAAAATCTTCTGCATAGCTATATATGTAGTACCGGTCCGTGGCTATAAGCTACAGAAGTTTCTGGCTGAACACTCATATTCGGTAGGAGTTTACAGCTTGCCAAGTATGACCTTGTCAAAAAAACTTCTTTTTACTTTCTGGCTTTCAGTAATCTGCTTGTTGAAGGTACAGTTACAAAAGAAAATGGCGCAAATAGAAAAAGACTTACTGATCACAGCAATTTTTACCTCATTTTAAAATATGCGATTTCGCTTGGATTTGCGATTCTTGCGATTTTGCAAAGGAGTTATGACGCTTTGAATTAAGAATGTGCAAAACCTGCATTAATTTCCGGACAACCTAATAATATCCGGGCCCTCGCTTCAAAACTTCTACGAATCAGCATTAGGTAAATCGAATTCGTATGTGGAGATTTCTGCAAAAAGCAAACTTTGGCTGGAGTTGCACTGCAATCTGTGAACCAAAATGCTCCTTACAAGAAACCTTGTACTACACCACAACTCAAAGGGTTTTTCAAGTCGCAAAAACTTTGAATCCTAAAAGATGACTTCGCAAGTGCTCTATATTAGCTTTTCTTTGTCTTTCAGCACTGATATTTGTAGCTCTAAGAAGTTGAATGTATGGACTAACCTAGTAAGAAATTTTTCACGGAATTTCTCTAGCTAGCTAGCGGCAATTCAGTAATTCTTGCGGACCAAACTCAAAATTGCGTTTAAAATGCCGTCTCTGAGGTTCGGTTCTACGAAATTAGCCAAAGATAGCTTCTAAGTAATCACACTGAAGTACCATTTTTTTCAAATTTTAGATTACAAATCATGAATGTGGTTTTGGTTGATGATTTGAAGAGTTAACAAACTTTATTTGTTTTACATGAGAATTTTCTGATTGACCTGATATTAAGAAGATTTGGGTTTGTTAGCGAATATTTGGGTGAATTTAATCTTTTTCTATGTTTTTATAGCGTTTCTTTGAGTTTAGAAAGAAACACTTATTTCAGACTTCATAAAAGACATGAAACTTTTTCCACTCACCTATCACCTTAGGATAGGTTGAGGAACACATTCCCAAAAAATCGCAATCAAAAATGTGCAAAAAGGTCAAAAATGGGCTTAGTCCCAGCTCACCTTGCTGCTGGGAGTAAAATGGGCTTTCAAGTCCATTTAAAATGGAGGTAAATCCCATTTTGCCCCATTCTAAATGGAATTTTGACGTCATCATTTCGCAAGCGAGAGCTCAGGTAGGGTTAAATCATTTTCATTTCACCGCTTTGCCTCGTGGTTGCGATGGGGTGAAAATTTTTGGATAACGCGAGCGAAAGCAGATTCCGACCATTCTCCACCGCGAACGAATAAAATGGGGCTTGAAAGTCCATTTTCCTCCATTATGGACTTTCGTGGATATCATTCCTGATTTCCTTCCCTTATTAAATGGATAACACTACATTACAGCGTCCCGAAGGTACTGGCGTGCTCACCGTGTTTTTCTCTTGAGCGGCCAAACTTAGTGCAGAAATCCTTCATAGCTTCTATCAGAAAAATGATCAGCAGAAAAAGAAGCCAAATTCGGAAACAGCATTCCAAGGCGAGTGTAATGGTTTACATTTCATCTCAAAAGTCACAGACACCGACTATCGTTCCTTTGTAAAGACCAACAGATGTTTGCTAACTTACTGCTACCATTCCTGAGTGTTTGGAAAGGCCATATGACTAATCGCAAAGTGGTGAGGGAAATGATATGATTGATTAAGGCTATCAAATTTCTTACTACCAAACGTTGTTCACTATCATATCCTGGTATAGTTTATTCTTCGCGTATATGCCAAGATGGTCGGCTCAACCTCAGAGAGGTTTGAACTTCACGTCTTCTTCATTCCGTTTCACAGTGGCAAGAACAGATGCAATCGCACTTGCGAAGAGGAGTACGAAAGCGAAGATGTCGAAAGAATGAGGGCTGGAGAAGACGCAGCACCTACAGTATGCTGTTGCCTCAGCGCACGAGTAAGTTGTTTACTTTGTAACATTTGTGCGTAAAATTTTACGCGAGTAGATAAGAGAAGCACTTAAGTTTTCGATAGACATGGCAGGTTTCTACCACATCCTCAATTGCCACAAATAAAGGAGTGGAAATTTGCATATACAGTAGAGGCTTTCCTTTCTCCCTTGTCCGCTCCCTCTCCCCCCCCCCCCTTGCTGTCTTTTATTTCAAAACGAGCGTTAAGCGCCGGGCATACTTCACGCGATTTCAGTCGCGACGCGATTTGGCAATTCGCCAGAAGTCTCTAGATACAACATTAGTAAACTGTGCATGCATGGTGTGTATAGCTTACGTGGATCGATAAAATGCCCTATCTTCTGTACATTTAGAATGTGCTTACAGTGAGTTAGACACTTGGAATATTGCCAAATCGCGTCGCGACTAAAATCGCGTGAAGTATGCCCGGCCCTTTACCTCTGCATCGCAAATGCTCGTACTGGCTTTACAATCTTTATAACTTCCTTGTGCTCGCATCATTCTGACTTTGAAACTCACCGCGCCCTGCTGACTATCACGAATGAACTGTGAGTGGATACTCATTCTTGAAGTTTTTTCCGCAGGATCGGTTCGGTAAATTTAGAGGAGTGAAACTCCTAAGCAAGGAAACTAATGCAAATTTGAATCATTTTTGTTCATTATGGCATTGCAGCTCATAGTTTGCTTAAAAAATAGTGGATTCGTTGTCTCCAACAATTTTTACGGTTATTCATTATTAATCAAGGAGGCTGCTGCATGCAGCAGGCCTATTACGGTAACTATACTCTGTTAACTATCATAACTTATAATAACGGGCTAAGGTTGTTTACGTGTTTTTGTGTGTGTGTATGTATGTCTGTGTGTCTGTCTGTAACGAAATTCGTAGAGCGAGTTCCAGCCAACGTCCTGAGCCCAAATTTTGCACATTGAATACGACCAACATAAGAGCCTACAGTGCAAAAGCACGAGTGGTTTTGTTGGGTGGATCCCTCAGAAACTGTGCGTCAAACGGAACCACTTGGGTTCTGGCTAGCAAAATTGGTTCCGTATCACCACATTCTGCAAAGTCGGGGATGTGTTTGGCATCCTGATGTGCAAGCCATGGACTTTAGTCCAAAAAAGTGGACAAAAGTTTACTACTTTACGAGAACGACGCCAAAAAGAAATGGTTGCGTAAATGGTTAGTTTACCATGTTTTACCTGAGTATTCGAGGAAAATTTTGCACAAAGAAGTAGCTCACGTTGCCTACTGTCCTTATGGCAGCTACCAAGCCAGAAAGGGTCCAAAAACCTATTCAAATTTGTATTTGTTCTTCTGCGAAAAGTTTCATCCACACGAAATCACCGATCTCACATGAAAAAGCATTTGGAATGGGTAGTTGTTTACATTTTACTCGCGATAATAGGCACTGCGCGGTGAGTTTCATTGCCACCATTAGTCAAGAATGAGTAAGGCATAAGAAGTAAGACCAGTGCGAGCCTCTGCGAAGCAGAGGTGACGCACTGGTACTATTATACTATACTTTAACTATACTCACGATACTCTGTTACCAACTTACCGTCTCCGGAAATTATAGGGCATGATTGGCTCAGGGGCGGGATGGAACTTTGTCCGACCTTTTCATGGCGGCGCCTCGTACCCATCGACGCTCAGAAACGGGCATCTGGAATTTGGGAATATAAAGATTTTTGAGATTATTTGTTAGACCACGTGTAATTCTTTAAACTTTACTAGCGTAGGTCTAGAGCTTCATGTTCTGCTTTTTCATTCTCATTCCTCTTTCTTACCTGCCTAAGCCTAAGGACTGGGGTTTGTTTGAAGTTTCTTTTAGATTTTCCACTAGCTGGCTTTCCCGGAGCAGCCTGGTTATTGTTCAGGAGTATGGCCAAGCCAAGTTGGTCCTTTCGCTTCCCGTCTTTTTCGACTTAACCAAGTCTTCTGCCCTTTCTGCATATCGATACCGCCCTGAAAACCCCACTCCTACTCTTCTGCATGAGCTTACTTAAAACGCTGTTTCGAGTACTTAGGCCATAGACCTGCGCACAGTTACTCTGTAGACATCTGGCAAATCGCCAAGTCGCGTAAATGTTGCGATTTCGCATCGCGGGGGCACGTCTAAGGTCTAACCTCGCAATTTGGGTTATCGAAATCACGCTTTTAACAACAGAGTATAGATGATTGAAACAGCCGTCACACAATCGCGTGGAAGTTCTACGCTTTTGAAATAAACATCAATTTTTCAGCTTTGCTTAGGAATCTTGTGCTTGATATCGCTGGTTCACTCCCTTGTTGAATTGTTCGCGTATGAGAAAGTTCATGTTTCCTTCAAATTCAGCTACAACGTCATCGTTATTATCTTGTCGGTGAGTATTTAACGATTATAGTCATTTTGCTCCACATGCTATCCCGACATGGCTGGCCAAAATAGGGTCGGTAGTAACCATCCTACCATGCGGCAAGTCTCGCCTTTACTCAATTTCCACCTCGAGTGAAGCCGGTGGAAGCAAAAGAATCGCAACTCGGAGGGGCCATATGATATTATTGAAGTCTACATGATAACTCTCCGCATCATGAGAATCTCTCGTAGAAGGACAAATAAAAGCGGGATATGTTGCGAAAAATTTTGCGACATTTCCTACTTCGAACTCCATGGTGATAGCAGGGTTCGGCGAGAGTCCGCTGTTAAAGTTTTACCGAAACGAATTTTCTTTTATTAAGTCGTTCTGAAAGTAATGTCGCTTTTTTCAAGTGAACGCTACATTTCGTAGAAGCAAGGTTTCTAGGAGATCTTGGTAGCATTCGATGCATCATTTCATCCTCTTTCTAATGGCTGTAATATCACTACAGGATACTCAATGGGTTTTACAAAAATTACTAAAATTTCCAACCCATGCTTTTTGGGAAGGTCAAGTTTCACAATTTTTCTAACCTTTTGTAATAATTCCGGAAGAAGTCCAAGTAATGGATGGATAGAGCAAACCTTATAGAAAACGGTACCATTTTTTCTGCTTTCCGGAGCCTGTCACAATTTTTGTACAGATTTTTTGATGGAACCACCGAATTTTAGCAGACTCCTCTGACCCAAATGCATCAAACACCAAGAGATCTTCGGATTTTGAAACTTACAAAGATGGATTATGGTTTTACACTAATTTTACAAAGCAAATGAGCATTTGCCGCTTCAGATTAGCCACTTTCGCAAACTCCGTGTACAGCGTGGGGCGCCTCGGAAAACCTGAGTTATGATGATTTTATCTCGGAAAACTTGATGTATCGGAGGCCAAAAACAACTGGTAAGAAGAGGAGAGAAAGCTGCGTCGAATGACAACCGAGTTGCTTGCCGGTTGTTGTTCTGTGACGTTTGAGTTGACCAAATATGGAATTTGATAGCATTTTAAAATTGATTCCAGAAACTCTTTTAAAATTGATTCCAGAAACTCTAAGAAGCAAGCTAAGGAAAAGAAAAAATTGCTTTGTGTCCCATATGGTTTGCTCTATCTATCTGTTACTTGTATTTCTTCGGAGATTATTTACAAAAATTTAGAAAAATAGCCGAACTTGACCACGGCAAAAAACATGAGTCGCAGATTTTGTTAATTTTTCGAGAGATCAATAAAAATTATGCAATGAAATTACAACCATTAGAAAGAGGATGAAATGCTGCATCGAATGCTTCTAAGGCCTCTTGAAGATCTTGTTTCCATGAAATGGTTCATTTGAAAAAAGCGACATTACTTTCGGAACGACCTAATATTTCCCTAAAATCTCACGATCCTTCGCCTTTCAATGGCAGACCTCTCGTTGGCCTTTCTACATGTACCATGAGGGACTTAACCTAGAAAAAAAATTATGTAAACGCAACAAATTTAACAGAATTATAGGCTGCTGCATGGCAAAAACGCAATATCTTTTGAGGCGGCGGCTTCATTAGCCGCAAGCGCATGACACGCAAGAGTTACTAAATTGTAAAAAATAATGTCGTTTTATATTTGCACGCTATGGAACCGCAACTAGGCGGACACCAAGATTATCAGGGGTACTGTTGATAAGGAGAAGCAAACCCTACAAGAGCACAATTTCTGCTACAAAATTGTTCCACATAAAGTTTGAAGCCAAATTTAAAAGCATCTAACTGCATAAAATTTTGAGAATAATCGTATCTTTATTTACAGTCCTATAGGCTTCCTACTTGCTTGAGCACACACACTCTACATTTGATGCTATCTATAAATTTTTTATTTTTCCGTAGCTGGAACCTGAGGCCCCATATACACCAAAATAGGCCAAAAATGATGCAAATTAGCCTTTTTTGTTTTTTGACTAAACTGATATTTTTCAAAAATTATCTCCTGTAAAGAAAAAATTCATGGTTTACTTCCATAGGTTTATAGTGTAGAATCACCTATGTGAGAACGCCCAGCATGGCTTTGGCAAAATTGGGAAAATCATTTTTTTCTCCATTTTTAGCCTTGGAAAAAACTAGCAAATCTATAGGTGGAGACTAGATGTGAGTGTGCCTGAGCAAGTAAGAAACTTAAAGGAGTTTTCTAGACTGGCATACGATTTTTTTCGATTTTTCAGGCGTTCTAATCCTTGTGATGTTGGTTGGTTGGTTTCGAACTTCAGTGGAACTAATTTTGAGCAACTATTAGGACGCTACCTTGTAGAGATTGCCTTCCCTATCGAACAGTACCACTTATGCATTTTGGGGGCCCGACTAATTTTTGTTGATGGAGCTGAATTCGTCTTCTTTCGTTCAAGCAATAGTTGCTGAAGCACAAACACTGTGAGCGAAAAATGGAATTAATGAAAGTCTGGCTGGCTCCATTCCATAGTTTGATGGCTATTTAGTGCAGGATTTGTGGCAAATAAGAAGAAGTGCTTTGTATTGAGGACAAAAAGAAGTAGTTAATTTACCTTTGAGAGTTAGTTGAGCATGTCTGAAAGTGATCACTTCACTTGGGTGGGCCAATATTGGGAACCCACAGATTCCTTAAAGCGTGGCCCACAAAAGTTGTTTGACATGATAATCACGAATTTATATTAAGTTGTAACATAAGTCTTGAAACACTCTTACTTCTTAAAGCGATAAGTATGCTGTTCAAATTTTCAATAAAGATTCAGGGTACCGTTCGATAGAGCAAAGCAAGCTCTACAAGATGGTATGCAAAAGTTCGCAGCAACTTCGACGCACTGTAAGTTTGCGTCCAAAATTTGAGTCGCACTGAAGGCTCAGAAAATCACGAAAAATTCATATTGTTCAGTAAAATCCTATGAATTTCCAACTTGCTCACAAAAGTTGCACTCTACCTCAGACACTCATAATGTACCGCTTCTGAATTTCTTCCTCACTTAGAAATCGAGAAAACGAAAATTTACAAGTTTTCACAAAAACGAAGCTAAGCTGTTTCCAATCATGCAGTTGTATACTATAATCCCTTAGTAGTATAACCGTAAATTTTCAGCTTTCCACAAGCCCTAGTTTTCGAGAAATACTGATTTTAGCATAAAAAACCCGAGCGAGGAGAGCTGAATTCGGTAATTTTCGAAAACTATGGCTTGTAGAAAGCTGGAAATTTACTATCTAAATCTACTATCTAAATTAAAATCTACGGTTATACTTCTAAGGGATTGTAGTATACAACTGCATGATTGAAAACAGTTTAGCTTCGTTTTTGTAAAAAGTTGAAATTTTTGTTTTCTCAATTTCTAAGTGAAGAAAAAATTCAAAAACGGTACATATGAGTGTCTGAGGTAGAGTGCAGCTTTTGTGAGCAAGTTGAAAATTCATAGGATTTTAGTGAACAAAGATATGAATTTTTCGTGATTTTCTGAGCCTTCAGTGCGACTCAAATTTTGGACGCAAACTTACAATACGTCGAAGTTGCTGCGAACTTTTGCATACCATCTTGTAGAGCTCGCTTTGCGCTATCGAATGGTACCCTGCTCATTGAAAATTTAAATAGAATGACTTATCTCCTCAAGAAAAGAGTGTTTCAAGACTTATGTTACAACCTAATAAATACCTAATTATATTCGGTAGAGCCTTTATTCCAATCCTACGGTAGGCAAACATAATGCTGCGGGGAAGGGAAGGGTATTGAGGCTCAATTTAAGGGGAGGGGTCGTATCCATCTTGCTCGACGTTGTATAAAATGTCGTATCAAATTTGGTGCTGTGGCTTGCTTGTTTGTGGTGTCTGGCTGGTGTGGTGATTCGACGACTGGCTGTGTCACGAAGTTGCAACGAACCACAAGTCAAAAGTTGGGTTCATAGAAAATCGCAATATCTTTGTAATTCGTTCTTATAGAAAACATGTAAGCAATCCAACTTTGTATTACTTTCATTAAATTCGAGAAAAATGACTTTAAAAGGACGATCTGCCGCCGTAGCTTAGGGATCGTGCGAAAGTCTGAAATATCCGGCTTGTACAACTTTTCGCTTCCGTTCAACAAGTTAGCAGAAAACTTGCGGATAGTCACGCAGCGCGGAATTAAAGCTTATGTGAGGCTGTCTGCCTTTGCTGAGCTGCTAGCTCGCGTCGGAGTTGCAGTTATGCGCGAAGTGTGGCAATTTACGGCATCTATGTGCATGCAGGATAGACAAATACAGGCCTCGATCCTCAAAATGGTGTCGTATGACAACTCAAAACTTATGCAAAACGTACTTTTTCTTAGTTTTTGTTTCTTTAGCACAACATGCTTCTAAAAAAAGCTCCATTTGAAGGCAGTGTCCAGGAAAATCTGGGCATATGGGTTTTTGCCTGGAAACTGTCAAGGAGACTCTAGCTAAGGCACTGCGCAAACCGCAGCGCAAATTATTATTCACGGCTGAGAAATCCATCCACAAACACTCCGCTCTGCGCCGTGACCGTAACACTTAAGATTGGTCCCAGCGCGAACGTAGTGTTAAAGTGAAAGTCGTTTTTGGGTTGCGGTCACGGCGCAGGCGCGGGGTTTTCGGTTTGATTTCCCAACCGTGATTGAACAATTTGCGCTGCCAGTTGGGCAGTGCCTTGGTTAGGACCCCCTGGGTAGAGGACACCTCAATTAGGCGCCGTCTTTGCGCTGCTGGTCCTTTCGCCTGCTGTTGTGCATCGTGTTAGGACCAGTAGTCCGCGGAGGCAGTCTTTAATTGAGGTGTTCGTTCCTCTCCCCTCATCAATTTCCAGGCGAAAGAGCCATGGGACCAGATTTGCCTGGACACTGCCTTCAAGGCCTCGGGCAGAGTTCACGCGATTTGATTGTCGCGATTCAATTGCTACAAGACAATCACTTACGATTGTATTGCAAGTCGATCATCTTGCATTTCGGTTATGATAGTTGGTTACGATTAGTTGTGTTGGAAAGCTATCACAACCAAAATGCGAGAAGATCGGCATGCAATGAATTCGTAACACTTGTCTTGTAGCGATTGAATCGCGACGATCAAACTACAACCGCAAGATGATCGGCATGTAGTAAAATCGTAACTGTTTGTCTTGTGATAAGAATTGCGGCGATGAAATCGCGTAAACTCTGCCCGAGGCCTAAAGCCGCCACATCCCCGTGAGAGAAACGGAGCTCAGAAGAAATTTTTGTTTCCTGAAGCTCCGGTTAATTTCTCGATGTCTATACATCCGCCAGTGTTCATTACCCGTCACTATAAACATAATTGGACAGGAGCGAAAAGTTGCACAAGCCGGGTTTTTCAGCTCTTTATGATCCCTTGATGCCCTCCGGCGGCTGTCTTTTCTCTAGAGTCGTTTTTCTTCCTTCAAAGACACAAACCATCCCAAAGTTGTACTGATTATCTAGCTCAACCATGCTAAACATTTTGATGAAACAAATGATTTATTATAATATTGAAATTTTCAATAAAACATAACTGACTTGTGCTTCAATGCAGATTTCATGACTTCGATACATCATTCGTTCTTATCAGATACATGCTAAGCATTGTTGGGTTGGCTAATCAGAACTTTTAATTGTTTCTTTCAACTTCGAAGGAAGAAAATGACTAAAGAAAAAGGCCGTTATATGCCATGGATTACTCGGGAATCGCACAAAAAGCTGAAAAACGCGACTTGTACTACTTCTCGCCCCTGTTCTTTATGGTTATAATGGAGGCGAATAGAAACACTTGCGAGTGAAAGACATCGAGAAATCTAAATGCAAGACGCTTGAGAAACAGCTTTCTTTTGAGCTGCGTTCCTCTCCACAGGAGGAATGTAAACGCACGCGGTCCTTTGTGGTACAGTTTTAAATGGTCATTCAAATTTATCCATTCAATTATTTTGAATGTTAAAAAGCTCATAAGCAGGGTCGTATCTGAAATTGGGGTTGCTAAAGATGCAGGCAGCGCAGCGAGCGCAGTCAAGACGAGCATTCAGCTGTCGCATGCGGTTTATGCTAACTTCGTTTGCAACCGCACTAGTGCTTGTCGCGGGCTCTTGCGCTCTGCGCAGCCTGTATTCCTATCAAATTCGATTCTACTAATCCGATTCCATCTGGATTCAATCCAAAGGCAAATTAAATTACGTCCATCTTTCGGCTTTCCAACCAAATTTTTTGAACCTGAAATCGATGAGACTCGATTATGGTTAATTTTGTTTCCAGCTAATTAGCATTCCAAAATTAGTGGCAAAGCGAGTACTTGGCATAATTTCGAATAAAGCCTAAATGTTACAGGCCTTAATAGCACTCGGCGGTCTGATTGGAATCTTATTTAGTAAACCACTACCGATGTTGATACTGACAATAAATTACGTAAGTTTTTAGCGTTGTTTCTCTTGATATAGTTAGGAGGAGGCTAAGTCAATGACATCGACATTACAAGAAGTTGGAGGTCTTCTTATAATTCACGCGCAAGCAAATGTACAATTTATGGAGCGAACAAAATAACATGTAATGGGAGTTGATTCGACGCAGACATCGACGCTCCCAAGTGCCCTGTTTTATTCAAAATTCTCTCGCGAATGTGATTGTCGCAGCAGAAGTGATATACATAATCAAATGAATTTCTCATTTAGAATGTTCTATCTTGTTTGATAGCTTCGCGGTCATAAGGCGTTGCTTGTGGCGACTCGGTGGGCTCATGGCACCTAGATCTAACCCGAGGCCTGATGCTCGCCCGATACCAAACGACGTACCTAGCCTACTGCGCACGAACGCGCGACAGTACAGAACATAAAATTGATTAAGTGGTTTATCATTATGACACTAAACTACAGTTAAAATAAATGAAGAAGAAAACTACACTAAAGCAAAACAAATTACTACTACTACAGAGTTAAACACGGGACGAGGGCCTGTCCCATGCTACCGATGCGCGTCCATAAATGATCTCAAAAATACATGTGGCTCGCGAGGGTTAACGCAACAAATCCACCGCGCAACGCCAAGGTCCTTAGACTACGGCACGTCCCCTCCAGCTCCTGTAGATGATTTCCGGTTGGTATTAGGCGCGTTGACTTGCGCTAACAAAAAGAAATCCGTTTTCCAATCCAAGAACTTCCGGCTCAACTGCTCTTACGAAAAAGGACAGGAGCATAGCGGCTGAAATGATATTTCGACACGATATTCAAAATCAATCAATAAGACGAAGACGAACAAAGGCACCCAACTGAGGCGCCGCCGCCTTATATAGCCGCCTGGCTGGCAACGAGCCAATTAAGGAGAGGTCCGGAAGCGATCGCGGCAACACGCGTCTCGGCTGCCGAAATCGTCGCCGGATAGCGCGGTAACCGATGCCCCCGGCCTCCGTACTTCGAGGAGCGCCTTGCATCGCGAGACGCGACATTGCTAGTCCACTGACGCCTCATATCAATGGTAGTCGTACGCGCTAATACTGTACCGCTCGTACCTTTTGAAAAAAAGCCGCAAAGTTGCCGATTGTAACCTCACCGCAGCGTGGCCATGCATAACTTTAGAGTGAACGAATTCTGAATCCATGGGCGCTATTCTACTCAGCTCAGCGCAGCGCATCTTTTAATTTACAGAATTGCCTGTTTAGAGACAGTAGGACCCCAGATTCCACAAATCGTTTCAGATTAATGCTTAAGGTAAGCTATTTGGTGTGCTTATTCATTGCAATCACTGGGTAACCTACCGTAAGCAAAAATCTGAAGCAAGGGCGGCTTGTACAGACCAACTCACTATCAACGTTAAGGAAATTCTAAAACTGGCAGTAGACAGACACTAAAGTCAATGAGCATCTTGCAAACACTGTTGAATGTCACCAAAAAATCACACACGCGAACACCTTAACGGCGATGCATATTTCTGGTTTGTCTGAGATCAAAGCTTTCCAAGAATTATTCAACATTTCTTACAAGGGAACGATACTTAATAGTGTCCGTTGCCTTTTTGACATGAGATATATAACATTATACTCGTCTCGAAACGCTGGCTTTGAATCTGTCTTCCGTTTTTGCTGATCGTTTCTCTGACAGGAGTTATGGAGATTTTTGAGCCAAGTTTGGCCGCCCTAGGGAAATACGATCGGAGTGCCGATACCTCTGGTAGGCTGTGGTGTAGTGGTTAGAGCGATAGCCTCATAAGTTGATGCAGGTGTAGATTCGAATGCTTTTGTGTTTTTCAGTTGTGTATTGCCTCAATTAAGCTTCTTTTTGAAGGTTACTCATCCTCGAGAAATGCATGTCCTTACTTAAAAAACCAACGAAGTCATTTTTACGTATACTTGCTGGGTGCTTCCTGTATTTATTCTGAAAAGTGCTTACAAAAATGAAAATGAATGGAAAATCATGATAAGCACACTGATGTAAATCTATGACAAGGTAATCAAAACATAGGAGGTGCTCGCAGTGAGTGTACCGAGTAAAGGATAAATCGCTGGTTGGCTTTCTCGCATTCACCCAGCAATTCAGCGAAAAGCAGTACTGTATTGGGGTTTGAAATTGACCAGTGGCCGTATTTATCACTGATACCTTGAGGTAAATTCTACCTCTAGGCAGTTTTATCACTCATTATCAGCAAAATTATCTTAAGAATTTACCTCAAGGTACTTTGTGAATACTGGTATTTGCTGATAATGAGTGATAGAACTACCTGGAGGTAGAATTTACTTCAAGGTATCAGTGATGAGCACGGCCACAGGATCATCAAAGTAGCCTGCGGCAAACCATGGATTTTGTTCGAGTAAATTTATTTGAGTTTTTTTTTATTTCAATGCACCTGAAAGTGCTCTCTAAATCATCAAGGAGCAGTAAGTAACAAACACTAATACATCGAGGTAGCAGGTTAGCGAATCACATATGAACAGCTGACTACCACTCTTTTGCATGTGCAAGCTGCACCAAGTACAGAACCCTTCAATAGAGAAGGTAACTTGACTCTTGTACATCTGGATTAAACTTGTATAGTTCTTGGATAAGTTGGCAAGCTGTAGCTATTCTGAGGGTAAATAGTATCACAATACTCGACCGTAAATCTTGATGTCTTTCAAAACTGAAGTCTCACTTATAGGGCCAGCGGACGTGCGGGCGGAAGCTAGCTGGTCTAAAGTTATGATTAATGCATACATTTTAGGCAAACAGTAATTATTTCTCCGAATGTTCCATTTTTTTGAGTAAGCGCATGCATCTACCTCGAGAATGCTTAACCTCCAAAGAAAAAAGATTAATTGAGGCAATGCACGACTAAAAAACATAAAAGGATTCGAACCCACAATTGCATCAACTTATGAGGCTATCGCTCTAACCACTACACCACAGCCTGCCCGAGGTACGTAGCGCTCCGATCGTATTTCCCGCGGGCGGCCAAACTTGGCTCGAAAATCCTCCATAACTCCTTTCTGAGAAACAATCAGCAGAAATAAAAGTCACAATCGGAATCAGCGTTTCGAGGCGAGTATAATGATATACATCTCATCTCAAAAGGCCACGGACACTAAGTATCGCTGCCTTGTTAGGTAGAATCAGACATATTGCTACCCACACTAAACCCACATTAGCTCTAAAATGGTGAAAATGGTGAGGAGACGGAGTTTATTTTTAGAAGCACAAAAAACTCCTAAAGTGAGTTTGTTCCAGAATAATCGTCATTTTAAATTTGAATGCGATCCCACATGGTAGTCTTTGCATGATAACTACGAGTGTCATGTCGAATTGCTGAAGCTTTGCGATACTTCGAATTGATATACATTACACAAAATCATACGTACCTAATCAATATATTTATTCACACATATTTACCTGATCGGAATATGAGAAGATGATTTTTTCAATGTTTTTTCTTTAGAAACTTTTCATGTTTCAGCAGGCAGTTTCTAGAATCCTTGAAAATGTGCGGATCCCAACAGCGCACTATTACTCTTGTCATATTAACCGTACCTGTGTATGCGACAAAGGAGCTGGCTCTTGCGAAGTCAAAGCAATTAATGACGCCAAACAAGGATCTACCTAACTTACTTACCACAATCTTGGTCACCTTTTCGTGGCGTCCTGGTCATGACACATGAGTTTCCTGTGTTTCCTGTCTCTCGCTTCCAACATATGCGACTTTCTTGGTGTCGTCAGTCATTGCTTCTGCGAATTCCAGGTGTATCCCGCTATTTCCTCTGCGGACACTTCCGTTCTATAAACACGTTCTGTCATTTCATTTGTAATCTTCCTCGGGGACGTTATGCTTCGCGAGAATCCACGTGAATGCTCTTAGCGTCCATCCGTCGTATTTTCATCTTATGATGTTGAAGCTCTTGGATACCTCACTTCCGCAACCTATTCTGCTGGATCTCAAAGGCATGACTTTCTTCCTATATCCGTACTGCGCACTTCAATCTACTCATGTCCGCACTGCGCGCAATGAGGTATTGCTTGTGCCGTGTAATTTTGGATGACAGCGCTATAGTGCTTTGCTGGTGGTCGTGAAGTTTCGACATGGCTACAGTATGGGCCCATTTTTTAGCCGTGTAGCAGAGCGCCGGGAGTACTGTTGCATCAAACAGGGGACCGAACGTCAGTTAGTTGGCGGCTTCCTTTGAAGCCCAACGCCCCACTTTGTTCTTCTTGTGTTCTCCCCTCTCCTTCTCCATGTTCAATGAACGTCGAAGAGGCACGTAAGAAGACGTCTCTATGATAGGGGTGCATTCCAATTCCTTTTTCACAAAAATTACTTCATGAACTGGATCTTCCATTTATCCGCAGTCCTCTCCACTTTGAATAAACTTTCAAAATATGGGGAGCGTCAGGCTGCTTTGTAAGGACTGGCATTCGTTGTTGCGCTTTACTCTGAGCGAGATATGAACTTTTTAGTATGTACTATTGACATACAACTGAGTATACAAAGAGGTCTGTAGATCGGCCTCCGCCCGAAAAAGGTGTTGAGACATTATAACGTCGGAATTCGTTCGATGTTGATAGGGAATAATATGCATTCGATGCATAACCTAGATGATAGTATCTAGATGCCGTAAAATCGGTAGGGCAACAGCAGGTTTTGATGACGAAGAAGCTTATAACTCGCTTTAGGATAATGCCTCGCAGCTAAAAATAGCAGATTTGAAATCAGCGTTCTATGCTGATTCCGAATTTATGTATCGTTTCTCAAAAGGTCGACCCTGTCAGGTGCCCTTCCGTTTTAAATCCAGGCATACATCACGCGACTTGAACGCCGCGATGAAATGAAATGAAACGATGAAATCGCGTGATGTATGCCTGGCCTTTTAGTTGAATCAGACAATTCCACAAAGGATAAGAATTAAGACCATAACAGGGGTACATCAAGATGAAAATGATGAAGGAGCAAGCTAGCCTAAACGTCTGCCTTCTCGAGGACGAAATGCGAGCACAGTTTAGAAGAAAGTGCCGCTTAGTCCCGAATTGCTGCAAGAATCTTAGTTGTGAATTTGGAAGGGAGAAAGGGTTTATAAATGAGGTTTTTGTCATGCACATGTACATGTGCATCAGTGGCGGTCCCAGGATTTCCGTCCGGGGGGGGGGGGAGGGCGCGGCAAATTTTTATTCAGATGAAGGTGGGTGGCGTCAGCCACGCACTCCGAAAAAAAATTAAGGATACCTTCTCAAAATTTCTGCGGGCCCCCAACCCCTAGAACCTGGAATAAGGGGGAAAAATAAGTCCCCAGAATTTTTTTGTATGGCTAATTTGAATTTTTAAAAAAATTTAAAAATTATCTCAATTGTTTACGAGAATAAACAAGTCACTTGCACATTTTTATAACTCACGTTAGAAATTTAACACGTTGACGACGAGCCATTTCTTGAAGGTCTGTCCCTGTGGACGAACCGTTTCCCGGCACTTTCACAGCTGGTTGCATGTATGTATGCATGCATCTATGCGTGAGATACAAAAATGCAGGTGGGCGGGGCGGCTCCGCCCACTTTTCGCAAGCCCCGCCCACTTTTCAAAAATGCTGGAAATCGCCCAAAATCAATGAATCCGTGCAAATTCCGGCATTTTTGAAAAGTGGGCGGGGCTTGCCACTCAGGGGGCGGAGCTTGCCACTTAGGGGGCGGAGCTTGCCTGAAGGTGTGCGGACCTGGCTGAAAGTTGTTTGAGGTCTTTGCGTTCATTTACGGCCTTATCCATGCTTTTTATGAACAAAAATGGCTCTTGTGGGAGGCATAGGAGTGGGCGGAGTTTGCCAAAAGGGGCGGAGCTAATACATGGAGTATATCCGAGCCTATGTTGATTATATGAACAAAAACTGAGAGGATTGGACAGATAGTATTGAAATTAAGGCCGCCGCGCACCATTGCGCGGCGTCGTCCACAGGGACAGACTGCCTGCCGCGCACCATTGCGCGGCACTGTCGTCAACGTGTTAAAAAAATTTGCGACTCATTCTCGGGGAGGGGGGGGGGGGGCATTCAAAGTGATCTACCTGCAAATTCTGAAAGGATATGGAAAAATCTGGCTGCCTATCGTGCACATGCGTATCCAATCAGGTAGAACTGTGTATCAAAAGAGATGCTTTGTCGGGCTGAGTCGATCATGCTGGATTCAATATTTATCCGCACTGAAGCAGGATATGGCGACGCGGCAGTATTTTAAAATTACAAGTACTTTTTGTTCCATTATAATTTCCTTTGAGAAAAAGCCTATAAATTTTTGCACTTCTTAATTCAACAATCTCTGTTTGATCTTCTGTTCCAAGAGCTTCTGTCTTGCGAGGCGTCTTTCTATCTGTTTTACAGATCATACACAATGTCGCTTATCCTCTAAGAGTCAGATATCTCATGCAAATAGAGGCTCGATCTGTTGAAGCACACAAGACCACACAATACCAAGTTTACGAGACTATTTCGCATAATGCTGCATGCTTTGAAAATTTGTTAATGTGCAAAAAACTGTTGATGTTGAAAAATTTCCGATACTCAAATATAAATTAAAAGCAATCTCATAAACTTATAATTTATTACTCAATAATTTTACAAAATTTCGCTTTGTATAACAATTTTCAGGTAATTCTTGGACTTTTGAGAATTGGCGTCCTTGTAATGGGCATAGTTGGTTATACGACAATAGAGAAAGGTATGAAATGCCTTACGATGTACGGGACAAATCAAGCCATCTTTTTAACCACTTTTGAAAAAACATTACAGCATGTCAGTCTTTCTCAAAATTGATTTATTCCAAGGAATCTCGCACTTATGATCTTATCTGCTTGCAAAAAAGTCTCTGCTGTATACATAAAAATTTTTGTTTATCCAAAAAACCGCTTCGATTCTAAATCCAAAACTGAACCGCCACCCTTCTCATGTTAAAAATCTCTGTGCATGAGTGAGAATAGGTGCAAATGATTACACTATTCAAACAAACAATTAGACAATATTTGTTTGCCTTGGGCCATGTAAGACCTTGAACTATCAAAACTTCACTCGTTGTGACTTTTTTGCGCATTTATACTTACTGGCAGAAATATGTATGCCACTTCTCATTGAGCACTATGATACGATCTAGTGTACGAAATCAATTCCTCAAAGAAATAACAACAATTTCAGAAGAACACAAGGTGCTGCTGATAATAGTATTAATTGGTATGGCGATTACCATTTTTTGTAAGTTAATTGTGATATTCCTTACATGCTATAAACTGATAGTTTTCCAACAAGTACAGAACATAATAAAATTATTTATAGACTATTTCTACATCGCATATGTGGCACATAAACTGCGCGTCTACTATAAATGCTTGGGATGAAAAAATTGAAGTATCCTGCTTAGTTAACCAGTTGAACCGTATTTCATCTATGAAGCGACTGTGCATGCAGTCGCTTTTTATAGAAATAAACATTGTACTGGTTTTCTCGTGTAATTTTCATAAGCGTTTAACAGTTTTGACATGTATCAAAACTCTGAAAAGCTTTGTAAATAGACAATCATTCTTTTCGACATTTTAGAGATTCGAGTGGATTTTGGGTAAAGAGACAATGTGTTTTGAAATGGTAAAGACTAGCGCTGCTTGTTCAATGTAATGGAAATACTATGACCTGTTTAGAGGCCTGTTTGGAATTTGAAGCACATAAGTGTGCTTTGATTTTTCTCGTAAATGCTTTCGGTTCAAGGCCTACTACTAATTGCCAAGCATCGCTGTTCACAACAGTCTACATTCTTATATATATAAAAGTCAAAGTTTGTGCAAATCTTGACCGTATACCGACTCCTTGGCGCGTGAACCGATTGAGCTGAAATTTTGCACACATAATACGTTTCCGATCTCATGTTTCTAAGCTACCTTTCGAAGCGATTCGCGGAATTCTTCGATCGATTTATTGATTTTTGGCACCTTGCAATGAAAATTAACAATTATCTGAGCTATATCCGCTTGCACATCTTGGTGTAAACAATGAAGTTAAGTTTATTTTCACCTTGAATTGTAGGAGATCCATTCAATCCAATCGCCTTTCTAAGGTAAGTTCATGCAGGAGAGTAAGGGGAGGGGCTTTCAGTACAGCACTGAGACGCAGAAAAGGGGGCGGAGAACATGGCTGAACCAAAAATGACGGAAACGAGAAAGGACAAAGTGTGGTTTTCAGCCATCCTCCTGAACGATGGCCTGGGTTGGACCGGGAAAACCAGCTAGTTGATTTATAACCTTCAAGTGTGATAACTTTTTGAAGAATTTGAAGAAATTTTGAAAAATTTACGAAAATTTAGTTCAAATGACTAAACAGCGTTCACTCTGGAGTTGTACACTCGGATTTCTATGTACTGAGATGTAGTGAGATATTACTTTTGAATAGAAATAGAAATTATCTAAAATGTAGATTATACATTGTATGAACAAGTGTGATACCCTCACAACATCAAAAAAATAAGCTGAAACAAGAGGAAAAGCCGACAACGTCACCTTTGCAAATCAAGTGGGGCATAAGCGGAAGCACTGAAGGCTTTTTTGCTTGTGTGATGATATTCGCACACCAAAAATGGAAAAAATTTTGGAAAAAATTTTCAAGCCTAAGGCTTTTCTGCGTACTCGTTATCCTAACGCTTCTTATTCTTGGAAAGAGAGTCATATGAGCCTTACCATTTCAGATTCATATGGAAACAAATAATAGTACATGTCTGATCTATTGCGGAGAAGGTTTGAAAATTGTACATCTCTGCCTTCAGAATGCATCAAGAATCAAATATTTCCTATTCCAACCGTGATACCTGAAAATTAAAACTTTATTTTTATTTTTTTTGAATTCATTGGTCCACTCCTGTCCCCGAAAAATGAACCGAAACTTATTTAAAAGTGGTCTTCGTAATGATAAATTTGCACAGGTAAATCGGTTTACTTAGTTAGAGAAGTGTAAACTTGAAAATTTATAAAGCTTTGACGAAAAAACTATTTTGCCTGTTCCAAAGCAGAAATGACCGGTAAGCTCACAAAAAATCTCAAAAGTGTTGCGGAAAGTTATCGGTAAAAGTGACAAAAATTTGAAAATTACTATATGATCCAAAAAACACGCGAACTTGCGGCTGGATAAAAATTATAATTTTTTTCAAACGTATTAGCGGCTGTGAATACATGGCTCAAATTTTGTCACTTCAAATATCAAATCTTAAATTCAAGGTTATAATGGAATTTTTACACTAAAAATTCCTTTGAACAATGGTGCTTCACGTGCAATTCAACATTTTTTCGTTCTAGTCTGACAATGAGAGAACTTGATGATTGGCAACTCAAGATTGGCAAATATTAGCTCTTCAGATTGGCTTTCGCGGGATTTCAACTATCATTTAATAGTGAAACATTTGGGATGCATCTCAAAAGAATTTTCGGAGTGTCTGGCTGACTTCACACATCTTCATTCTGATATTTTGTCCCCCCCCCCCCTTGAACGGAAATCCTGAGCAGCCACTGGCGCATTGCATTTCTCATTCCTCTACTAAAAACGTTTTGCAGCACCAACCTGAACTATACAAAACAACCAAACCTTCCATTACCATATGAAGTTATTCCAGCATTTTTGTTCAAAAACCGTGTCAGGAGTCTAGCGGGATCCCTATCATATTAGGTGGGTCCGAAAGTTCGTGCCGTTTTTCAGACCCATGCTCAAACCGCCCATAATAATGATAGACAAACGCTTCATAGAATGTTCAATGCAGAATTTCTTTCTCTTTTCAAAGGTCATGTTCTTGTTCAGATTTCTTTGATGTCTGCTAATAGTCCCCAAAATTTCCAACCCAGGTTTTTACCCATCCTGAGTTCCGCTACTCTTTGAAATTTCGATTTCTAACTTTCGGACTTGTCGGGACGCAGCTATTACCCAACAGCTGCTCGCGATGGAGGTTGGCCTAAGATAACGAAACTCTGGCAGTGACGTCCGCCCGCCGCCAGGAGACGGTTCCCTCTTCCCCCTTTTCCTTTCCCCTTTTGTATATAGTTTGTATAATAAAGATTATAGTAAGACTAATGTAACCCGCTACACATCAGGTAAAGGCGTCATGAACCTTTATCCTGACATGGAGGTCCCGGGGAGATTACAAACTATTGGTCAAACAATGGAAAAAGCATTTTCTCCAGTTCCGTGCAATTGCACAAACCAAGTCTGCATCACATTGTTAAACGTACATTCAGAAATACAATTAAAAGTATTTTCAGGGAATATTACTTGTAGCTGAATGGAGATTGTTTTCAGAGAACAATTCTCTTTCGAAACGCTTCACAGAAGAAATAACTTGCTTGTTGTTTGCCAAAAAAAAATCCTCAGTGCTTCTGAACATAGATATCCAGATTGAAATTCTGATCGGAAGCAAAGACCGCATTTTTTTTGAAAGGTGTTCAGCCGAAGCTGGCAATAAGCAACGAAAGCATAGTTTTTTTTTGTCGCAGTGAAATTCATTTTTGGGAATGAAAAAGATACTGTTTAGAACGTTTCGCGTCATCTAGTCCTCGTTTTCTCCCCTAGAAAACGATTGTAATGATTCCTTTACAGATTTCAGCAGAATTCAGGAACAATCATTCCATAGAATTTTTATATTGGATTTGGACGTTGAAGAAACATAGATAGCTTTCACGATTGCATGTTAGTAGTGAATTGACACACATGATGTTAAGATCATTTCCGCTGAAGTTTTCATACTTATAATCACAAGCTACCAATCGTAGTTTTTGCAGCGGAAGCGTTCTGGTAGTACATTTCTATGCTAACTATTGTTGTGTCTGATTCAAGCTGTGCAGTTCGATCTGCGATTCCATCTTGTAAATATCGGTTATCGGCTAATGTTTTCCAAACTTTAAAAAAAAGCATCGAAAAAAAAGGAAAACATCAGAAGATGAACGATATCATTTGTTCTGATTGTAGTCTTGAAATCAGTTGCAAAACTACAAGACAATTTTTCAACGCAATCAGTTAACAAAAAGTCTGATTAATGGCGTTTTTTTTGCCCTCGCGATTTTTTATCACGTGAGTTTGTTTACATTTATTTTGCCGCAACGCTGCGTTTAATACATATATGCCTCAATTTCTTTGAACCGGCAATTCAAAGAATGAAAAAAAATTCTCATACTAGGCAGCGAAAAAAAAATTCCCATTTTTCTAACACTCAAAATCTGCCACTATGTTGAATTAAACACAGTTTGTTGTGCTTAATTGAGCATATCTTTTTTTTCGTTATGTAAACAATCGCATTATTTATACTGTATAACCATATACTCGGTATAAATTACACAACGCCTTATTATCACATGACCCAATCCACTTGTCGCTCAATTAATTCATGTAAAATATAACTTCAGAATTACAAATGTCGTCTAATACCGCCTAATATTTTTGTTAACTATGTAATTTTCGCTCGCCAAGCTGTTTTTATTCATGTTCTAAACAAAAGCTGTTTCCCTCACCCGATTTTCACCTACTACTCTTCAAAAACCAGTCACGTCATCACACTCGCAGAATCTCCATCTAAAAGTAATTCTATCCGTCAGTCTCCGAAAGCATGACTTATCACCCATGCAACTACATGTCACTGCCAATTCCAAACAGTCCCCAACGTCACATCCTCCATTTTTCTATATCTCTCAGCTTGAGGACAAGCTTACTCAGTACCCCCAGGATGAGGTGAAGGTCGTTCGTTGGTTATCCAGCTCGCCTAAACCAAATTCCCTACTCAATCGATGAATCTGAGGATAATGGTACCGAAATCGAAGTTCTCTATGGTCTCGCCGTAACACGTGTACTTCTTACGCACGTAACTCGGAAGACGTTCAATAACAGCTAAATAAGCTCGAGGACGAGCTTTCTGAAGGAATGGAGATGTCGGGACGCAGCTATTACCCAACAGCTGCTCGCGATGGAGGTTGGCCTAAGGGTTGGGCCAGACTGCGCGGCGTACGCGACGTACGCAGCGTACGCCGCGTATGCTCCTATGATGAAATATATCGAGCGTACGCTGCGTACGCCGCGTACGCCGCTTCCCCGCGAAGTCTGGCTCAACCCTAAGATAACGAAACTCTGGCAGTGACGTCCGCCCGCCGCCAGGAGACGGTTCCCTCTTCCCCCTTTTCCTTTCCCCTTTTGTATATAGTTTGTATAATAAAGATTATAGTAAGACTAATGTAACCCGCTACACATCAGGTAAAGGCGTCATGAACCTTTATCCTGACAGACTAGCTTTGATAACATTTGAATACAATAAACAGATTGCTATACAATGACCTATTTTGGCCTTATCAACTAGCTTTTCAGCCTTTATTGAAGTAATTTTTTCAAAAGCCTTTACTTTTGCGAAGTAGTGAAATACA